GAGGTATTATGTGGGAGGAAAGAGCTGGTGTGGGGGTTGTGGTGTATTGTACATGTTCTCCAGGAATGGTAGCTCTTTGTGTGTGAGAGAGAGAGAGAAAGACGTTTATTCTTTCACAATCCTTCCCTCCTCCTCCTTCCCCTCCCTTCATTATTACCTCTTCTGGTTCCACTAGGCTGCAGGAATTGCCCTTTATGGCGTGGAACATTTGTATTTAAAAAAAAAACAAAAAAACATACAGATTAATTATGTGGGCATAAACTTTGAATATCTGAAACAAGGCAAGACGTGACTGTCACACAAACCTATCCCGGCTCTGTTAGCATGCAGGCTAACGAGCTGTGTTTTTTGTACTTAGGCCTTGAGGCTATAGCTTTTGAGTTCAGCCCAAATGAAGTCCCGCTAATAGAGTTTAAGCTTAACAAAGTCCTAAAATGACCTCAGGTTAAGCCAGGCAGCAGGAAGGTCTCCTTAATAATGTCAGTCAGTAGTGAATGAATCCCTGGTGTGTGTGTGTGTGTGTTCCTGTGTGAGGCAGAGAGCCAGCTCCCAATACAATTTGACGTCCGTGGTTGGGGGCTTGCAGTTAGATCTGAAATTAGTAGTCAGTTGATTTATTTATTTATTCACATTTATCAAGCAAAAAAGCTGCCTCCACCTTCTGTAAAATGAGTATTTGTGCTTCGTTTGCTGTCATTTATGATATTTTTGGGTTCTGGACTGTCGGATAAAAGAAGCAATTTGAATAAGTCACTGTTGGCTAGTAAATTTTCTGCCATTTTATGTTTTAAGGAGAGAAGTGTGAAAAGACAAATAATTATATACAAAAAGCCGCGAACACACTGTCAAAGTGTATGCAAGTGCATGCGTGTAAATTATAATGTAGCTGACAAACAAAGTCATAAAGAAGTACAAATCTAGATTCAAATCAACTGATTGTGACCACTTGGCCTTCATTGTCTACTGGTCACAAACAGCACTTGTGTACATCATCATGTACCTGCGGCTCCTTCACTTTCTGATAAAAGTATGTTTCAAGAAAAGACTTCACTGACTCAGCTGACCTGATTTCCAAATAACCATTCAGAAGATAATTATTAGTTATTAATCAAATAAAAAATACTTAACCTGTCCTGATGCTAAACATTTTACAATAAGCAATTATTAATTATATTTTGGGCTCCGGTAACATATGATTGTCATTTTTCATTATTTTAGACATTTATTGACTAATTGAGTCTAGAGCTGGAATGACTTGCAGAGTAGTTGATCTACAACTATTGTGATTATTTAGTTTAATCCACGCAATGCTTTCCTCACGGGGGTTTTCTCACTGGTCAACTGCCAAGTTTTCACACACAATGCGATAATGTGAAGAAACCTAACCCGTGATTACTACAGCTGTATGAACCCAAAGTAAACATTTTACCGTGATTTAATTGCAATAAACAGGTCAACATGATGCCAAAATAACTACAACATGATTCAGATTTGTTAAACATGTTTTTAATTCATGCTTTGTCAGTTCGAACAAATGCTGATGGGCTATTGCGACATAGCGTCATGCAGCTGTCTCGTGCAAGTTTAAAATTTTCAACTCGAGTGAATGCCTTCGTGTTGCCGGCAGCGCCCTCTTCACCCCGCCCGTCAGGAAATCACGTATGTGATTGCGCCACCCAAAACCCTCGCTTCGCCTTTGGCACAGTTAGTTTTTAGGATTTGCTGCTTTTTTTGTTTTGTGAGATGGTGAATTGAGAGATCTTTTTGGTTTTGGACTGTTGTTAGGACAAAACAAGACATTTGAAGGGTTCCAAGAAGTTAGGATTGTGAAAAATTACCATTTTCATTCATAGACAAATTAATAAATCGAGAGTAGTCAGCAGATTGTTGACACTCTAGATCAATCAGAAAAAATAATGCATTAAACAGAAATGATTGAATGATTATTTGCAGCCCTACACAGAAATGGGAACTTATATCAGCTTGCACTTCATTGTGAACACACAACCCAAATCCTTGGCTCCAAGCGCCCAGCAGCAGCTTGCTGGTGTCAGTCTATAAGCAAATGTGGATATGTTTTTGACATTTTCAGGCAACCAACAGTATGGTGTCATTTTTAGTTCTTTTCTATGTGAATTATGCCCTAAGCAACCAAAATGCTTCCAAACTGTGGAGGCAATGTGTAGACTCGTCTCTGCCTCTTTTCACAGAATCATCGCTTTGTCTCTGTATGGTGAATGTCCTCTGGAGACTGGCCTTTTACAATCATGGGTAGTGGTCTGTCGAAACGAAGGTCTTCTGGCTAGAAAGGGGCTTTATTTAGGAACCGAGATCCTGAAGCGCCTCATCATCACCTCCCCCTAAAAACAAAGCGAGTTGTGGTTAGACACTCCTACTTATCACGCCTTACCCATTCACTTTCGGTCACCTTTGCCTACACACACAAAAATGGCAAATGGTCTTATGATCTAATGATAGGTCTTCACCTAAATTATGTCAATGATGGTGGGTTTTAAAAACTTTTTATAGTCATGCTTGTGGCATGAGCTTTGGGGATGGCAATCAGTCCGTCGATCCACCGCTTTGGTCCAGACTCAAACATCTTTGTAATCTTAACTATTGGATGGATTGCCATGAATGCTTTTGCAGAGATTCACGGTTCCCTGTCTTACCTTGCACGACCAGCAGGTTCACATTTGTGGTTTTAAGTGAAATGTGGTTTTAAGTGAAATGTTTTGACAGCTATTGGATGGATTGCTATGAAATTTGGTGCAGACATTCATGTTCCCGTCAACATGTATCAAAGTAACTTTGGTGATCCCTCAATAAATCTAGCATCATAATTTTTTTCAAATTTTAATTTATTCAACACTGTATATGAATAAATGCTGACATTCCCATCAGCATAATCTGTACTTTGTGTTTAGTGCCAAAGAGCAATTGTTAGCATGTTAACGAGCAAAACTCTGACTGTGACAGACATTATACCTTCTAAACAGCATGTTAGCGTTTTGGTGTGTTGGCATGCTCACATTTGCCTCCAAGTCAATTTCCGCAAGGACCGTAATGCAAAAAACAAGACTATGTTGAATTTGAAATTTAATCTATTTATAATCAAATCAAACAATATGATAAAGTGAACAAAGAAGAGCAAGAGAGGAATGAAAGGTGGGAGGCAAATGAGCTCTAGATGAAGGAATTTAAGCGTAGGAGATATAGTAATTTAATGCGGAGCATAGTGCGAGATGTTTTTAGCGATAGGTTAATCAATTCCCCAGGGACATTCCTTTGTTATGAATATGAGAAAAGATCAACAGGGGGTGGCTGTGGCTCGGAGTTAGAGCAGGTTGGCCGTTAATCGGAAGGTTGACGGTTCAAGCCCCGGCTCCTCCAGGCTGCACGTCAAAGATACTGAACCCCGAATTGCCCCGGTGGCTGTTCCACCAGTGTATGAATGTATGTGAAAAGTCAGTTTCTGTTTGAACACTTAGGCTCAGTGTATGAATGGTGCGATGTAGTGTAAAAGCACTTTGAGTGGTCGAAAAGACTAGAAAGGCGCTATACAAATACGGAGCATTTACATTTACATCACCACTCTTGATGTTCTTACACACCCACAAACGTACAGTTTTTTGTTTTGTTTTTTTTGTAAATTTTTGGGGGGGTGCATATGTGGGTTTCAAGGAATTCAACTCAAAAGCAACTGCACCCATGCATTTGTGCACCACATTCAGTTGTCAAGTGTCCTTGGGCGGTTTGACGTCAGTGTCCCTGGACGAAGCGCTGAAATGCTTCCTTGCCTAATTTGAAGTGTCACTTGGTGCCGTTTGGCATCGCCACAGTGCAGTGAATGCCCAGGAATTATGACAGTGAAGCTACAGTCATCTAAGGGATTTTGTTAACTGGCCATGAAGCACAAGCCCAGAATGGATCGGTCAGATTTAAGTTGGAAATGTGTGTTTTACAATCCATTTCACAAATGTACATATCTACAGGAAGCAGAATTTGGGGAAATGAGTTTTGACAGTCTGTACATGGTGAATGGGTGGGTGATGTGCCGTGCGCAGAGAGCTTGCCACAACATATTTTACGCAGTCTTCTACACAGCGCACGACAGAACAACACACAAAAACCAGACGGAACTGGCCCGAGCATTACATCACATACCCGGGCCCCATTGCTCTCAGAAACGGGGGTAAAAATCAACACAAGATACAGATGAACTCAAATGCTGCTCACACATACACACGCTCTCTTTCCTCTTTATTTATTCCGCACCTGTCCCGCTCTGTGTTTGTGCAATGCTCTTGTGGTTCTGGCTCATGCGCACACTGGATCATGCTTACTCATGGCTTGGTGCAAGACTCGGCCTAGCTATATTTTGTTCTCCTGGGGGTTTTTTTTTTGCTCTCAGTCACTCTCCTTCACTGGGTGTTTTGTGCTTTTTTCATTTGGCTGTCTCAATGTTTGCTTTGCTGCTTGTATTGAATGCGCCGTACAGCACATCACATATAAATAAATAAATGAATAAATATATATACACTCATACTCATGCCTCACTTTCTCTTGGACGTACACACATCATATAGGATCTACGTACACAAGAAGGAATAAAATACCTCAAGGCTTTTTTATCCACCAGTACAGCTAAGACCGCTTGTTGTCTCTACACACATATATAAACAACTGCTGGTGTAAAAGATTTTGTGCACAAAATAGAGGCAAAGACGGTCTGTTTCTCTCTCTAAATAGTTTTATCCATGCACTGTTTTGTATTTAGCACTGTTATTAATGCATTTATTGATGGCTAAAGACAGGGCAGGTACCACGACCACTCACTCAAACACCCCCCTCTCCCCCTTGCTGCTGTCACTAATCATTTGCTGTTGCACTGGTGCTTGCTTTTTGCTGTTTGTTTTTTTTTGTTTTTCTTTCTTTCATTTATTTTTGCCTTTTCCTGTGTTCGTTGTAATCATGACCTCTCGCTGTTTTAATTTCAGATTTGCATATCCACTTCCACTCCTTCCTCATTTGCATACAGCAAGAATGGCGAGCGGGCATCCCACAGACAAATTCAGTTTCATGTATCAACCAGACACGCACAAGAGGTACGGGGCACGCATGCACACACACTCACACTCACTCACACACACACACACACACACACACGTGTACACGATTTCCCATGCCCGTGTCCAGGTAAGAAGGTTTGAAATAACCGAGGAGGTCTTTTCGTCTACACTGAGACCCGTGGGGAAAGTTGCCTTATGGGAGATATCACATAAATGGCTCTGTTATTAGGCACCTTCACCCCCAGCCATTTCCAGCACCTTAACATTTTTAGCGGCCACTCCTCCATTCAGTCCTGTAGTGGAAACCAAGCTGGTAGAGCTCGCCCTGCCGTTATTGGTGCGGTAAATAAGGCAGATGTGCAGCAATTGGCTGGCTTTATTTAATGCCACACAGGAAACCAAACCATTATTTTCAGAGGATCCATGCCTCCTTGTTTTTTATCCCAGCACTCTGTGTTTTTAAATACATGCTTATGTTGAGCCTACTTGAGGGTGAGAATTTTTTTTTTCGCATGCTGGCAAAATGCTTCAGCTGGATGTCTCCTTAAGAACCTGAGTTTGGGAATAATGCGTGATAAGTGCTGTCTTGATAATCGTAACAATTTTCTTTCCAGTTCACATGGCTTATGTCTCTCTGTCTTCTCTTATCCCTCCCCCTGCCCTCTCTGCCACACTTTCTATTTCTCTCTTCCTCAGTAAGAACAGGTTAGCTTCAGCTATGAATCCAAGTCTACAGCCCCGTTCAGCCTGGCACCCCATATGGAAACCCTAAGAACATGGCGTTTACAGGTAAGGCTAACACGTTATTACCCTCTATACCTATATAAACATGATTTTAAAGATGGCTGCAAGTAATAAACACGGCTGAATCTTTAGTCAGTGGATACTTAACTGGGTTTGTAGTATCTTATTTCACTCTCTTAAAGTTTAAAAAATGTTGTTCAGGTAGGAAAATATCAAAGAGCGTTATGGTTTTAGCTTTCTTTCATGCATCCAGCTCTTCTGGCATTTGCTTACTTGCCCCATCTTAGCGCTACTCCGTTGCCACCCTGTTGTTCACAATTAGAATTTTATTTTCCCATAAAACCATTGGTAACGGATGTTAAATCCAACACAAACGTCAACTACCCTACCTTTAGAAACCAATGAGAACATCACAAACTCAGAGGAATAGACAAGTAGTGCTGCACTATCAGACTCTACAGTAACAAATGTGCTAAATGTACATTATTCTTGTGCACATTTAGCGTACAAGATACAAAATGTGTTGGTATTGTGTTTTTAAATTGATAGCACCATCATACCCAGAAATTGTGGGAGGACCTCAGACTATGTCTTGTGACCTATAAAATGTGTAAGAAATGTCCTTAGTGAGCATTTGAACAGAGCATTTAGATTTTAAGCCTAACAAACAACATATGGTGCTTCAGTATAGAAGAGTTCAGGACACCTTTTCTCGACTGGGGTGAGAACGTAAATCTCCCACTGAGGAAGCAAGCAAGTAATTGTAATTGTTAACATCGTGGAGCTTTTAATTTTACACCAGCACAGGCTTTCAGTGTGGCAGGTGAAGAACAGGTTAAGATCAAGTAGATGGAAGGAACATTGGTCAAAAAAAAGCCATCAGCAGGCACTTGAGTTCGGACAAAGAGCTAGCCAGTCTCTTCTGAGGAACAGTGTCATGTGGCAGATATAGAGGTTGTGGGTCATTTTGAACATTCGCTGTTTGCAGAAGACACCATTTGAGAAGAACAACAGCTCCCTTTTTTAACATTAAGTTGAACATTGTGAACAGACACATAATTGAGACAAAGCCAGAGAAAAGCTTGTGTGCATTTCACACATCAGCTACACATTTTGACATCCAAGTCAGCTGGTTAGATTTGTTCCGCCACACTGTATTATGCTGCAAAAGACAATTAACTTTCATCTTTTTTAACCTGATGCAGAAGCATGAAGCTGGGATAATTTGACGGCTCCATGATGTCATTTTACCAGCTACTCTGTGCTTTTGTTGATATGTTCCTCACTCTTCACACTCGGTTCCCTTCTCTCCATCTCTTTGAATATGCTGTAGGGTTTGTTTGTTTTCCAGAAGAACTGCTGGTCAAAGGTGACTACATAATCTAAACATTCATCATTCCTGCATTCACCACCAAGTTTGCACATGTATTTTAACAAGTATATTTGATGCAGTAAAATGAGAGTATGGGTGTAGCTTACAGTGATGTGCTTTCACTCTCTGTTTAGTTTACATTTGCATGTAAACTAGAAGGACTATACATGTGACAAAATCTGAGAAACGGCATGTTTTTCAGGGATTATTTCCTGGCAGGGACTTATCCTTTTCCCCTGAGTGTCAGTTAGTAAGCAGTCCATGTCGCGTGTGTCCGTTGATGTGAAAACATGCACACAGACTGATTTAAATGATGAAATGGCCCATGAAGGTTGATTTTCATGTGCAAATCTGACCGATGGTAAATGACCTCTTCTGAATATAAGAAAATGAACCCCGATTATATCTTAACTGCACTCATGGATAGCAGCGGGCACAACCAGGAATAATGTAACAGAGAGGGAGCTGTAGTAAAATATCGTTGTTGTATATTCAGTTTTAGTTTGAATTTAGACAAATTCAGTGAGTTTTAACAATGTGCTTCAGGAACAGGCTGTTTTACTTGGTTTGTTCACATATTTCAGTATATCTCAATTTTGAGTAAAATTATATTTTTCATAGTTTTCACGTAACGTCACATTCCAATGAAAACGCTCCCTTGGAGGGCAAAAAGATATGCAACCAATATGCAAGTGATACACTGTTACTTTGAGTTTGTTACTTTTTGCGTTGCCAAAATGCTGGATGATTGTTATGCTTTCGGATTTACTAATCGAGGAGACAAGCCTGGGCTGTGTTAGGTGAGGGATTTACCCAGAAGGTAAAATTAAACATTAGCGCAGTCTGAGCGGTGGCAGGGACTGGGCGTTTTTAACGGTAGAAATGCAGCAGCGGATGCTGTAACGTTATCAATCGGATATGCCCAACACTTGTAATATTTTTCTTTTTCTTGTAAGTTGAAAGGTGATCCAAATAAAATTTTTACTGATTTTGCGGCGTCTCTACGGGGAAGTCGCGGTGTGAGCCGCTATGTTGGGCTGTTGTTTTGCCCTCCAGGTCACCGCACATGTCGCGTGACTGAAAACTATGAATTGGGTTTCTTTGTAAACTGGGTCTAGGAGTAATAGACTCTCTCCACCCAGATACTCATTCTGTATCCTTTTCATGGTTCTGTAGACTCAACCAGGTGTGAATACAGTAGTTACAAGCTGGCTGGCAACATTACCCATGGTGAACTGTCACCCCAAGTTCACCTGTTAAACTCGCCAATCTTGCAACACTAATTTAAGATGTTAAATGCTACTCCGGTCAACTTGTGAGATAAATGTGAAAAAATGCTGCAGGATGTTATCATATGTGAAACAAACACAACTTGACTTCTTATATAAATAAGCTAACAATGACATTTTGTGAGGTAAGGATACGTACGAACGTTTGCTAGGTGTTATTTCATTTATGTAGTATTGACATTTTTCTTTGTCAATAAGTAAGCATTGTCAAAATGCAAATGTTTTCACTTCTAAGGAGCAGTAGTCATAATTGCCCCTCACTTTAGCTATTTAGTATCAAACCTAGACATCTTGTTAATCACTGTTTTTTAGGACTGTAACAACATCTGGTGTGCTGTTGTATAATTTAATGGCTTTGGATCAGTGCTATGATAGATTGAACAAGCCACCAGACATTTTGTTCAAAATCTTTTGAACCATGCAGTGCTGCAGCTGTTCAACTAAGATGATACTTAAGTGTTTTTTTTCCAATTGAGAAATCACTAGATGAGTTAATGTTAAAGACTCAGCTGTCTCATTCGCAAGTCACAAATATTATACTTGGGGCTGCAGCTTATTCCTGCCATGATCAAAAAACATCTAGTCTACTATACTGAATAATCTATTTGGTTTAACTATTCCAACAAACCAAGTCCAATAAGCTAAAGATATTAAATTTACAATTATATAAAACGGATAAAAACAGCAATTGCCAACTAATTCTCTGTTTGACCATTCAATTGTAATATAAATATCACCAATAACACAATGAATTTATAGAGATACAGATTATTTAACCATCACAGCCCGCAGACTCTGCTGCAGTGTAGATTGATGCGGACATTTATTAGACCTGTTCCATCTGACTGCGGCTCAACCTTCAGCAGCAGCCAAAGCTAGATATAGCAACGGCGCAAAGCTACAGAACAGTCTGTGAGATTGACTGCCAATAATAGCGAGCAGTGAGCAGCACCTCTCTCACTTACATACTGTCTCTTAACTCTCCTGCTTTTCTCTTCTCTTCCTCCCTCTTTGTCTCGCTCTGTCGAACTCGCACCTTTTTTTTTTAATCAGTGAAGGCTTTCTCTCAGGTCAAAATCTGCTTTGTTTGCAAGATGTGTAATTGGTGACGCACGAGTGTGGTGTGTGCGAGCCCCCCCCCCCCCCCCCATGCACGTGTCTGCGTGCATTGCTAATGTTTCTGAATTTATCTCCTCCCCCACCATATTGGCAGGTGTGTCTCGTCTGTATGTAAGACGCATTCAGCCGACTGAGTTATTGGTGCAGACATTTTTTTTTAATGAGCGCCATCTGTGCACATCCTGCTCCAAACCAAATACTGCCCTACGTGTGTGTGTGTGTGTGTGTGTGCGGGTGTGTGCGTGTCTTTGTTGTGTGTGGCCCTCTCTTTGATAAACTATGGTTTCTTATATTTTCTCTCTCGTCTGTGATGTCCTACAGGCTATCCAGGAGGGTATCCTGCCGCAGCTCCCACCTATACACCCAACCTTTATCAAACAGGCAGTCCTGGGTATCCACCAGGTGAGTACCAACACACACACACACACACACAGACCATTTGATGACTTTGTGTATATTTAACAAGGTAATGTCTTGCTTTTAAAATTGCTGTAGGTTTACTCAAATATCTTGGGGTATTAATTATTGGGATGTTTGTCATTTTTCAAGGAAAACAAATCTGGGATAAACACCACAAAGATGGCAGAGTGGAGAGACATTGAAGTTTTATGGGGGGGGGGGGGGGGGTGATGAGTTTCATCATTTTTAACCAAACTGCGAGGATATGTATGTTTATTCTTTAAGTAGACATGATAACCTTGCCTATTGTTTGTGTGTTTATTTGCCCAATACAAAATAAAAAAATACAGCACAATTACAACATAAGGAAAGAATTATACAGCAATAACAAATGTTGTGGTCAGAGCCAAAAATTTTTATTGTGTGGCTCCCATTGAGAAAGAAATTATTTTTCATGAGCCAATAGCTAAAGACAACAATAATATAACCATCATCAAGTTTAGTAGGGATTTACTTCAGATTCTACCTCCAGTAAGAAATTATTAATTGGGAATGTGAGGCCAGAGCTGATCACAAAGTCTGCTGAAATACTTACTAGTATATAATACAATTTTTTTGAAATAACGATGTAAAAAGTGAAGAACCTTCAACAACCAATTTATCATGAATACTTTTTAGAAATATGTCAATCTTGCTTTTGAGTAATCATTCAATTCACACAGTAATGTGTTGATGTGAAATTAAAGTTAGTGTTTATATTAAGGTTTAATGTGCTGAATAAATTACGCACTGATGGAATTTTAATTTAAGTCCAGTGATCTGTTATTGCTGCGGCACTATAGAGCTGCACTGAATGTATGTGTTTATTATGCACACACAACCTTTTTTTTTTTTTGCCACATTTTTAATAATTGTCTGAGTTAGTTCTGATTCACACTTTGTTGTGAATAAATGGCTGCCTAGAAAATTGATGTAATACCACAGTCACTCGTGCTTTAAAATGTGTTTCATCATTTCAGTTTATTTTGAGCAATCAGAAAGTCCTTTAGAGTGGTGATCCCAGCCTTAAGGGCATGGATGGTGAAGGAATGGGAAGCTAGCCAGTAACAGCTGCCGGTGGCCTTATAGCAGCAGATACGTACTCTGCTGGGGTTCAGCGTCTGGTCCCCATAGCAGATGGGAATAACAGTTGTCTCACTGCTTTCCAGATATGGTTTGTCTGTAAAGATGTAGATAGTTTAGTGTGACTTTAACTTTTCAGCCTAGAAACCCAGACTGGGTCCAGTACGATACGAGATCTTCCAGAAACATTGGAATGACCCAGTTTGGATTCACCCTTTATTCATACAATGCTGGAATTTTATTTATTTTTTTGGACTATACAGTTATTTGCTTTATTAGTTATTTTCAAATTCATTACTTTAGAGATGATTTGTAGGTGCTTCCAGACAGAGGGATCGTGTATTTAAAAAAAAAAAAAAAGTAGTAAAAACCATGAAAAGAACAATGAAGAGTGTGTGTGTGTGTGTGTGTGTGTGTGTGAGAATGTCTGAAAACTGATAAATGTCAGACATTTGCAGACATTAGGGAGGTTATCATCTAAATGAATAACATTTGTGAAGTATTAATTACTATGAATAGATAAGATAGCCTTTTCCAAACATGGGGGGCAAATACCCACTTGAATCATTTGCTATTCTCTTGAATTTGAAGTGTCTTACCCAGACAGGATGGATTTTTAGATTTCATCTGATGCTTTTGAAGCCCTTCTCCTCTCGTCCCCTCCCCCACTTTGGTTTTTATCTTTTGGAAGTCTAACAAAATAGCAGGTACGCTTTGGCAAAGCTCGCCCTGCTTTTGTTCCAACAAAAGACGTGAACCTTATTATTGAGGCCGCTGTTTGAATCAGCAGCGGCACAGATTTCTTTCTATGCATTCCTCAGTGCTTAATGTGTGGTGAAGTCTTTAGATTTTGTGTCCTAGACAAACATCAACCTGCAGACAAGCCAGCTGTGGTCTGATTACAGACGTGTCTTGGTCAATGTCATTATTTCTTAAGACCACTGAATAGACAAACTGTTTCCTATCAGCAGGGCTTTTGTGTAATTGTCACACACCATTGTTCTCTAATGTCCTGTATCCATGTTAGAGAAAAGAATGTGTGTGAGGATATGCACACACACAGACACACGCGCGCTTTTAGACACACACAGCAGCTCCAGCATCTCTTTGTTCCCTTGTCCTTGTGCAAGAGAAGCGCTTTCATAAGCTCAGCAGCAGCAACTAGCTAGTAGCATGTTTGACCTTCAGGCTCCTCCGAGTGGCAGTTCAGAGCTACTGCACCCCACAGAGCAGAGGCCACTTAACAGCAGACATGAATGCAGTGGTCTGAACCAGATGCCCTTACTTCGCCCTGTAGATCTCACACATTTCAACTCTTTGATGTAGTCTCAGTTAGAACATGCTAGAAGGGTTTTTTTCCCCCTGTGCCACTAAGGTTGGTAGGTGGCTTGACTATATATGGTCTGGGAAAAGTTGAATATGCTCCATAGGCATGGACTCCACAAATGCTCTCTTTAGCAGTAAACAACACAAATGCTACAACTATCGTGTATACCGAGTATGTGTATAAATGAGGCTTTTTAAGACTCATAAACCCCTTGGCTGTATTGTTTTGAGACCTAAGACCCATAAAAAGAAAGCACCAGACCCCCATCTGGTGGATTTTGTAGGAAATGCAAAAACTAGAACAAACATGTGGCTACAACTAATGTTTATTGTCATTATCTATTCATCTCCCAATTAATTTCTCCAGAGGTCTAAAATGCATCAGAAAATGGTGAAAATGCCTTTTTTTTTAATGCCAATAAATAGTCCGAAACAATTTCCCATAATACAAGGAACTGCAGCCAACACTCCCATTTAGCAGCCGGCATTCATTAGCAGCTAGAGACAAATGTTTTCCCCAGGAGTTGGTTGAGAGTGAAATATCTGCTTAAAATGTAATGTCAGTTTTGTGTTCACAGCTTGTTGCACTGTGGCCAAAAACATCAGTTTATGACAAGCCGGTTTAAGAAAACAAAAATGAAAAAAGTAATGGCTTGCTCTGATGTAACACATGTCTAAGTCCTCCCTCCTTTCTCCCCTCTTTTTTCTTTTGACTGTTTTTAGGATATACTTCAGCAGGCACCCCATACAAAGTTCCCCCCACTCAGTCAAATGGCGCTCCCCCTCCCTACACCCCGACCCCCACCCCATACCCAACAGCTATGTACCCCATCCGCAGTGCCTACCCTCAGCAGAACCTGTACGCACAGGTAAGATATTGATTTGACAACATTAGTGCAGACGCTCTGCACTCTGCTACTGAAAAATGTCGATCAGATTCATTGTATCACATCTGTTCGGTTGGCCGTGCCATTTAACTTAATCACTTAAGTAAATATGCTCACATTGTTTAGTTGGTTGAATACATTACGCCACAGCATATTGATACAATAGGGTGAAGCAATTTTACAAATGCGACCCCAAATGGCCCATCATCTGTGCAGCAGCACTGTGGTTTAATTAAGAATGTAGAATTCTTTGAATTTAACTGATGGGTTGTTTTGTGTTGCTTGTTTCAATGTTAATATGATTCATACAATGACTCAATTTGGCTAAGAGTCTCGAGGAGCTAGAGAAACTAAACTCCCAAACAGAATTGGGGCCTGAAAATCCATTTGAACACATTCTTGCTTCCAGAGAAAAACCCTGGAGATTGGGCAAATTAGACTGACAACCTATTAAAAAGCACCAGCTTTGTTTGAGATTCAGTTGAGCAAGACAAGTCGACAATAGAGCCATCAATTTGTTCTTTTGTAATTTGGTGCTGTGGGTCTTTTTAATGGTAAAGTGGATGTTTTTGAAAAGTGCGGAAACAGGAAGAGAAATGGTTAATGCGAGAGAGTAATGTAGTATCTGTAAAGTGTTTTCTGCCTACTTCTCTTGTTCCTGCAGTGGGAAATGAGTATAGTTAAACCTTCTTAGACATCCCATTTGAAAAAAATGTTATAATTAGCTTTTATACAGACAGACGCACTCAGCCTCACCAGCCGTTTCCTTTGTTAATCATGACAGGGAGCATACTATACCCAGCCAGTGTATGCGGCTCAGCCACATGTGATCCATCACACCACCGTGGTGCAGCCTAACAGCATCCCCTCCACAGCCCTCTACCCTGCCCCCGTCCCTGTACCTGCTCCGCGCAACAATGGCATGGCTGCCATGGGGATGGTAGCTGGGACAACCATGGCCATGAGCGCAGGTAAGAGCAGAACCACTGACTCAAAAATTTTTAATTTTTTATTTTCAGCCATGACACGTTGGCTAAAGGCAGTGACGTCTTGACTGTTCTCTCACAACTGTAATCTGTGGTTTTAGGGCATTTATTTATGCAGGAGACTGTTTTCTTGCACTTGCACAGACATGTTTTTTTAATCTTGTTTACTGTGTGTGTGTCCTTGTTTTGGCTTGCATATTTCATAGATTTGATGCGCTTGACAGGGTCAGGGCTGTATATCACAAAACATCAGGGTATAAATTAGAGTTAAGACGATTAACTGGTCAGGTGATCGACAGAAAAATCAACTGGCAACTGATCACTAATTAATAATTTTTAAGCAAAAGATCTTTGGTTCCAGGATCTCAAATATGAATATATGCTGGTTTTCTTCATCTTCCATGATGGTCTTGTGGATATGTTTGGGTTTTGGAGTGTTGGTCGGCCAAAACGTTTTAAGCTGTCATCATGGGCTCTGGTTAGTTGCAGCCGTAGTTTATATTTATTTCTTACATTCGTTCAGTTATTTAGTTGGCATCCTTCAGGGTTACAAGGGAGGTAAATAAGTGTTTTATAATAATAAGTAGTCACAGCTGCTAAGATGCTTAACAAAAACAGGGGGAAATATAGCAAAATGCTTGAATGATCTACAATAATAGCATGGAACATTTTCATTATATCAAAATGCTGACATAACATGCAAGTCATGTACAACTACAGCAACTTAAAAACAGAAGAGAAGGGACAAACCAAGCCTTCATAGCTGTTGAGCAGATGGATTCATAAATGACTCATGAATGGTGTCGTTAAATTCCTGTAGGGACCTTGCTGACAACGCCCCAGCACGCCCAGATTGGAGGACACCCAGTTACTGTGCCAACCTACAGGCCCCAAGGGACACCTGGGTACAGCTACGTACCGCCTCACTGGTAGAGCCCACCCATCATGTGAGTGTCTGCCCTCCTCTTCTCCCCCCACTCCCCACCTCTTTTCCTCGGAGGTCAGTGGCGGGCTATAGTCTCTCACCAATGTGCACTTCTGCTCATCTTTCCCACCAGATCTGGAGTCCACCATCGTATGCAACTGCTCAAATCTTACACGGGCTCCCACTGGTAACCACGGGGACTCGGCACCTGTCTGCAAGAACAAAACTAAAGTGCAACAGCCACTTTACTATTATTGTTATTATGCGACATTCTTTTACATTTTTCCAAAAGCTGCTTTTATTTTTTATTTTGTTCATTTGCCAAGCAGTCATTACCTTATTTTGTATGGTTATTTTATTTCCTCACTTTCCTTTGCTGTATCTGTCATTGGAACTCCAGAAGGACTCTTGACCAATCACGGCGTCAGTTGCTCCTGTTTCATTGTTGTGCTGGTGTGTGTGGTCCTTCCTGCTGCTGCTCAGTTGGCTGGAAAATATTGGGCACTTACTCCTCATTATCATCTCCATCGGTCACTACGAAGACTTATTGACTTATGCTGCCAACTTTTCTAATGACTAGATATCAGCACAGGGTTTTAACATAATTAGGAGATTTGCTTTTCGGGTTATTTAATTTTCTTAACACTATTTTACCACACGCAACTGAATTACTTAAACTTTTCTGTGGACTTTTCCCCCCTTTTCCCTTTTTGTTCTTTCTTCCTCGTCATCCTTTTTTTATCCGCTTTGTTTCTGTAATCTCACTCGTCTTCCAGCGCGTAGCTGTCTGTCCAGCAGTAGTAAGTCCACCATCCCTGTCGTTAACGTCTCCGTGTGAGTGCTATGTCACTATGGGCAGAGCACTTACAGACCCATTACCCATCTGCTGCGTGTTCCTCTGTGTACACGTTAGCATAGTGGATAGTACAGAACTAAGAAAACATACTTCATGCTAAATACTATGCAGGCTACTATGTTGTGACACTGTCGACATCTTAACCTTAGCATAGGTCAGTACATTTAGAAAATGTAAGGATATTTATAATAACGGCGTCAACAGCATTGGTGGCCGTGCACACTTTCTCTCTCTCACACACACACACACACACACACACACACACACACACACAGGGGCTCCTGTATGTGTTGAAAAATACATGATCACTTAGTGGCACTTACCTCCAGTTATGTTGTTACTGATCAACACACAAGCACACACACACAACATGGTTTTCTCGGTGTGTGCATGGCAGGCAGCAGAGAAGGAGTTTAAAGGGATTGTGTTGGCACTAGGAGTGGAGAGCAGGACAAGACGGGGAGAGCAGACGACAGGGAAGGAGAAAGAGATCACATATTCACGGTCGGTCATTTCATTTCAAGGTACAAGACATGCGAGTTTGTGGCTGCTCCCCTGCAGGAGAATGCACAAGCACACTGCTGATTTGCCCTATGTGTTGTACATTGACTTGTCTCTGCGATTATATCATCTCCTTCTTCTTCCTTTGTCCAGGCGAGGATTTTAAACCAAACACTCAACAGACAGAAAACCCAGGCTCTTGAGTAAACAGTTATTAATGGACCAGTCTAACAACTGTGCCGATTCATGGATAGGATTTGATACACTAGTCCATTCCACAGTGCTGAGAGTGCTGATAAGACCAAACCAGTGGCACGGATGGCTGCGCACCACATTTAGAAATGAATTGTGAACAATCAGAAGGCTGTAATGTGTACACACCTGGTCCATGCCGTTAGGGCTTTGTTATTCTCAGAATTTGAGTCAAAATTTTAACTTTTGTGGGTTTTCCCATGTGAATTGCAAGAGCAAAATGAGAAGACTGTCATCCAAAAAGTGCTGGTTCTAGTGTTCATGGCTACAACACTTTAAGATTATTAGCAAGTGTGCAGAGCTGTGATGATGCAGTGTCACTTAGTTTTAAAACTAGTCCAGTCCAGTTGGGGGTCCAGCTTGACCTCCAGGAGCCGATGGGAGGCTTTTTAGACTTTCAGTAGTTTTCATGAGAAAAGAATCATCCATTAGTTTACTGTGCTTTTTTCCGCAAGTGTTGGAGATTTACACATCGGCTTTTACTGACCTGCTTTTTAAACATTATTCTCCATTTTTAAAAATCCAGCATAAACCTTGACTTTTATGAAAATTGTCATTAAATGAGGATAATATTTGAGCCAATGACACATGGACCATATTAAGTCATTTTCTGTTGCCTTTTTATGCTTATACTTGTAAATGCAAAGGCATTCACATCCACAGTAGGATGGCCCATCTTAATCAAACACTATGAACACAGCGAGTAGTGGTGGTGGGATTTAATATTAAGGTGAGGCCTGTGGTATTTTTCAGGATTTACAAAAGAAAGACTCAAATCACTACTTCATGATCTGTAGAGTTACAGATTGGTATAACTAAAAGCATTTACTGAGCAGGTATGTAGATGAAGTGGTTTGATATTGCAATAAAATAAGAGGGAATGCCTCCAACTGTTAACACAGTAATTATTTTATCAGCGTTTTGAATTGATTTTTTTTAAAAAGAATGCTTATTGTTGTAATCTCTAAATATGGATTACAGGCTCTGTATGCAGCCTCCATTCAATAATTATTACAGTTACCGCTAAGAAGAGTAGAACATATCAAGAATTTGGGTATTGAATAACTTTGTGAGGAAATATTGCACAACATAAGACAAAAAAAATAAACTTATTGACTATAATTTAATGCTAAGTAACAGGTACCTAGGCTTTGTAGTGCAGGAGGGAGGAAGAAGCAATTTATATTGTAATTAAAAATAAAACAAATAAGGTTGAGTGTTTGAGGTATTCTTAGTCCAGATGTTTGTACACTAGTAGGTAAATTCTCAAGAAAATTACATAATGCCGCTGTCGGATGAAAAACCGCCGACCTTTTTAGAAACGATCCTTGTATTTTGGAAGATCTAAAGTGGATGTTATCGGCGGGAGGGTCATGAAATGTTCCCACTGTAAGGATCTTGTAAATTTTGATTCGAGCCAGTAAAACTGAAAAGATGCAGAAACTGGGCTTTTCTTGCGACAGCAGCAATGTTACTTGTCATTAGGATTTATTTAACCAACCACTACTTCTGTCAGTATTTCTCAATTAAATCTTGTGTTGTTTTTGTTTTGTATTTTCTTCTTTTTCCCTCTGGTGAATTGAGCATAATGGGTATGCATAATATTCAGGTGTATTTCAATATAGCATTGGATCTCTAACTTAAAAAAAAAAAAAAATGCAGTATATTTATACAGCAAGTGGTACAGTAATGTATTTCTAGCTAAGCATGGTTGCGTCAGTGTGGCAGCTACTGTTTGTGCTTTTAATAATTAGTTTTTTAAAACCTCTTCTGCATCTCTGTCCTCTACATATCTGTCACTGAAGGGGGAGGAGAAGTTAAGGCAAGGTCTAGTAAATAAACTTAGGATGGGGGGGGGGTTGTCACCGAATTCCCACATTCTTGTAATTGTCTCCTGAATTTACAGACCTTGAGGAAGCAGAGGATCAATGATAGAACTGAAATGGATAGCCTTTTTTTGGTTGACTGGAAAAAGGTTAACATCTCTTTTGGAAGCCATCTTCGCTGTCCATTTCTGTTCTGAGTGGTGCAAAGATAAGAACCCGCAGCCTCCACGCCCTTTGTTCTGTGCCATATTTCACCACCGTTTGTTCAGTAAATATTAGTTTTCTTCTAAGTAACTGGTGAATTCTGAGTACTTGTTATGTCAAGCTTCCTGTGAATCTGTGTTTCCCTATTGCTGTCCTATTTCCCCACATTGTTGTTAATGCATATCGCCCGTCTCCTATTTATCCTTCTTACTTTGTCCTCCGTGTTTGTCCTATTTTCATTTTGTGCCACAACTCTCTTCAGAGGCCATTTTGCATCCTTCTAACTATTCAAACATTTAGTTTTATTACATTCAGGAATGCAAAATGATGTCAGATCATATGTTCTGCTCTCTCATGTCCTCTTTGACCTTTAACTCTCTGCTCTCACAGTCTCATCTTTTTTGGCCTTTATGTGCTTTCAGTCTGACCTTTGCAACCATCACCACCCCGTCTAAGTAGCAGTCATATTGAACTATATGATTGTCATTACATTGGTGTCACTAATGGTGATAATCTGTTGTAAATTGTTTAGCATTTGTGAGATCTGTACTGAGCCTTTTAAGCACTAGATGTCGCCAGCAACAAAGCCTGAAAGTGGCTTCAAGGCTTTGAGCCAAAATGATAAATTAATCATTTTATTTATTGGTCATTTACATCTAAGAATCACAATTAGATGTCACATTATGAGCACAGAGATATTTTTGGTGGCCTTTTTCAAATGACCCCCCAATTTAAGCAAGACAAAAATATGGTTTCACTTTGTCTTATAGGAGTTTGATCATTTTAACTTGAACATTGATACGAGAGTTGTATTTTTCTGGGCTAAGAGCCAACGCTCTTTAAAACTCTAATTCTGTTTTTAATGTGGAGGGCTCAGTAGAGGCAGACCCACAGAGCATTTCGGATAGCTGAAGATGAACGACTCCCACAGAGCAGGGTTTTTATTTTGTTTTTTTCTTCAGGGTGGTGAAAATGCTTCCTCATAACTCCATTCCTTGCCTCATTGATTTCAATTTGCACTTAAGTGAAATGTGTGTGAGCAAAGTTGTCTTAATCATGGGTCTTTTATCATTTTATTTTGTCATTCTGTTTCTTAATGTTGAAAGGTGGTAACTTTAATGAGGATTATGCAGGGTTTTTTGTTTTGTTTTCACTACATTTTAATCTTGCGTCTTTTCACTTTGACAGTGAAAATGTGACCAGAAACATTCATAACACCTCTCTTCTCCTTCCTTTTTCCCTCTACCCCCTCTCTCTCCTTTTCTTTTTTCTTTTTGCCTTGCGGTTGCTATGTCTTAGGGTTCTTTTTTCATAGTATAAATTAAAACACTACTATCATAGTGAATAGTAGGCTCTTAAATGTCTTTGATGTTCTGCTGCAGCTTTTTAATTTCAATCTGTCAGAGATATCTTAGTTTAATTTGACACTAAATGTGATGCAAAAAGTGGAAATTCCTTGTCTTCCAAAAAAAAAGCATACTTGTTATCCCACCTTGGATCAAGTATTAGGAACAACCCCATCTTTGGAAGTTTTAGTTTGGTACCCAGTTTGCACATGCTATGGTATATCTGTTACCGTAAGGTTGTGTTTGAAACAGAAGCCCAACGTCTGTTCAGCGTTGAGAGAAGTGAATTGTATGTTAGCTATTTGGTCCAGAGTGAAGGACCAGCGTCAGGCTTGTGATATGAAGTGTAAATCTGTTTTAATTTGTTTTTTTACGTTTATTTTTTTTTGTTGTTGAGGTTTTTTTTGTTTTTTTTTAAAGATCAGTTAGTGATCTTAGTACTATAACTAAGCCAAGTTTGTAATTGTATATTTACTGTAAAATGTAGAACATTGAATAACTATTAAAATTTTCCTATAAAAGGAAGACCGTCTTGTGATATTCTCTCTGCTGCCATTATTATTTTTTTTTTTCTTGTACAGTTTATCTGATTAGTCTTAACAGTTGCTCTCTGGGATTTGTGCCATTATTCTAAGGAATAAACAAACATGTATATCTGCATGTGCAGTACAGCTCCCACATAGATTGATGTGGAAAATCTGTGGAACGTTTTCCTAAGATGAGCCTGATACGGTTTATTTAGTACAAAAGTGTTTGGACAGGCTTCTCTGAAAATGAACAGAATAGTTACCTGTAGGCTAGTAAGTCAGAGACTTGACTCAGAACTCCTGCACTATTAAAGAGGTGTGACTGTAGGTCTGCATGAGTCACAAGTCAAGAATTGTTGTAGGAGAGGGAAATCAAAAGCAAAACAACAAGGAAATTAAAATAATTTGGATGTACTATCTAACTGAGCCCATCCCTTTTTCATTGTAAACCAACTCCTAAGAGTTTTCCCCTGATGTCCTTAGTTCCATGTGATGTTGACAAAATCTCACCCTTATCCATTTGTGGTGAGATTGTGTTTGTCAACAACTGTTTTCAAGACCAAGAAAGAACTCAACTCAACTGATGCTCCATTTTCCAACTTAAAGGTAGGCCTGTGGGGGGTTTGGACAAGGGCAATGCACCTGCAAAGCCCATGAGGAAGAGGACTGCAATTTGGTGAACATGGATGTGAACAATGCATGAAAATATAAAATCAGTTCTATGTGTTATGAGGAAGAAAATACACACATAACTGCAGAAGAGAGTATTTGTGGGATTAAGTGAGTGGATGTTTGGGGGGAAAAAAATAAGAAACCAGGGGCCTTAGCCAGGATTGTAGATGTACTGAGTCCATTTTATTAATCTACTTGTTTTTTTGACCTAAAAGATGTCAAATTTAGCAGCTGACCTGCAAGAGAACAAAATAACAGGTTCAGGGCTAGCACAATATTAGCTTAATGGTCCCAAATCATTTTACCAGTGCATTGTAAATTTTGTTTTAGTGGGAAGTTTAATGACCCATCTATGTTGCAGACTTTGCTTCTCTGTCCCGTTTCAGGAACCGGTGGATGTGAGTACACGCGACATGAGTCTGCATTCAAATAGAAGAACCAGAAAGTTATTATTTCCCCTGTGGCTGAAATAGAAGGAGAGCAAACAACGCTCACTCTTTCACTTCCCTCCATATCCACTGCCAGACATCCTTCCAGGGTTTTGCAATACCAACAACTACTCATACAGACACATACACACTATTGAACAAACACTGACACATACCTCTTTGATGCACAACGCCCCGCCACACACACACACACACACACGGCCTCATATCTCAATCCCGGACAAGAATGCGTGGTGTTGATGCAGAACAGAAGGTTCAGTCACTTTTTTACTTAAGTAAAAGTATGAAAAGGTTATCAGCAAAATCTATCTCAATTCATTTGATTATATTTTGTATAAATAATCTAAATCTGTATAGAAACTTAAGTATCATAAAACAAAACACTCAAGTAAAGCACACGTGGGAGAACCGCCATAGAGGTGCATTATTGAGGAACTAATAATTTAATTTCACCATCTTGCACTGTGATTGTGCAGGCCGGATCATACAGCGACACATGGCCTCACATCAGGAGGTTGAACCCTCCTCCTGTAGGTACTTCTAAAAAGGAGAAACTCTGCGTCTGCAGCTCTGTCTCAGCATGTTTTGGTTTTTTCCCAGTCTGCTTTTGTTTGAACTGGTGTTTAGAATGAAATCACGGTTTTGTTTCAGCTTCGGTTTCTGCTTTGACATTTCTTCATCTTGCCCGGAACGCTGCAAGTGTTGAGCAGAGGGGTGTTTGTGTAGAGCCATTCATTCATTCATTGATTGTTTGGACAAAAGCCTGCCAACAGCCCACTCTGATCACAGTATACTGTTTTTATTTCACAATAGGAGAATATGAGTAGGCCTATAGCTTGTGCTGTCCCTATCATACAGCTGTTTTCTACTGCCACGTGAGTACCACATCTGCAAAGACATTTTTACAGGAACTGAAAGCCTGCCATCTTAAAATGATTGTTTTAAAATACACCAGAATGGATGAATGAACCAACCCTAACTTCAAATCCTTATTGTGGATTTTTTCCTTCATTAAATATTTTATTGACAATCTTTAGTGAGAGCTGAATAAACATTAGAATACATACTGTATGTAAGCTGTCATGTGTGTTTATATCTAACTGACATGTACAAAATACTCATTCTTTAAGCAAACATCAATCATAGATTAATCATAACATCCGTTTGCAGGCGACTCTCTCACTCATGCATTTGTAAAGTACTGTACATAGATACACAATCGCACACAGCCAATTCGACATTAGAAAGTTGTCTCAGGGATTTTAAGTTGAAGTGACGGTGGTGAACAACCTGGTTAAACCAGATGCAGGCTGGAAAAAGGGCATGTACGGGATTGTAACACTGTGAAAACAGCCAGTCACACACTCAAAAAGTGGTATCCGTGAACTTTAGGGTCATCAGAATATTTACCAAGAAAGTTGTTTTGTAGGAACCACACACGAATGTTTAGCTTTCAGGGACACTGTCACACTGCAGTCTCTAAAACCAGTGAGCAGATTAAAAAATGAAATTCTAAACAAAAATCTGTGTATTTTTGTCATCCAATCAAAACGGCATGAGAAAGACTCAGACAGAAATCGGACTGAGTTTTGTAGAAATTCTGAAATGCACCACATAAGGTTCAACAGTTTCGTTTAAGACATTTGCTAACGAGGATCAGGCCCAGATTTAGCCCTTTCAAGTCTGCGCTCCATCCCAGCTGCCCCTCCATGAGGATGTGTTTATGAAGTTCGAGCTTTTCAAGCTGTGCTATTGCATGTACACATGCAAGGAAGGTTGGTGGTCTGAAAGGGTTTTTTTTTTTAGGATCAGAGAGAGGCTCTCACAATACTCCTCAGTCATTACAAAAATTTGCTGATAAAGCATTTGGCGAGCATTCATCATGCGATATCCATATTTCAAACTCTATGACTAATACCCATCTCTGTGTGTTCACTTCACATCTTGTGAATGATTTTTGTGCCAAAGTTCACTGAAACTTTATATGGTGGTAAATTTTGCAAAACAACTATTTTTGTGCTGCTATGTCAGTGTGTGGTCGAGGCTGATAGTGGTTCTCTAGCCAAGTGTTCACTGATTCTATACAAGCAGCTAACTGACAACCAGTCATCTTGTTTGTTTCTGTTTCCCATCAGAGGCTAATCCCTGTGAACACTTCAGTTTGCTTGAATTCAAACTCATAAACACTGTCACCTATTATTTTCATCACTTACGTAATTTCATAAATTTGGATTTGGCAGCTTGAAGCGTTTTAGGATTTGTTAATATAACTCCTGAAATCTTGCTACTCAAATTCTCTTCACACACTCACTCAGTTAGCAAAAACATTGATCATCTGTGGACTTAACAGCAACAATATAAGTTTTATAGCGGTTCAGTAAAATATTTAGGGGGTGAAGTCTGATCCAATCAGTTATTAGCATTGAATGTCATAAATTACATATGGTAGGGGAGTGACTCAAGAACACTAGCAGAATAGGCAGTTATCTTAACATCTGATATTGACTCGTTTGTTAATAATAAACGATCAGACGGATTCATTCTGTATAACACGGCCTCACTTTCACCTGACTGAGAAAGTAGATGTGTAGCTACATGTGGTGGTGACTCACTGGTCACAACACTGAAGATGAAAGTTTCTATATTGTTCAACCCATCCTCGTTCCACTGGCAGCAATCAGTGCTCAGTAATGTTTACAGGAGACTAATGGGTGAATGAAGTTGTGCTGTCTAACGCTGCGGTTTCCCAAATGTGTGTCTCCGTTGTGGCTATAGCTTATCAGATGGAACCCGGATGCTGAGCAGGAAATGCTGTCAAATCAAATGCAGGTACAATAAAAGTCTCAAAGTCCCAACAAGATTAGTGTCACAAAAAAAAAAACAGTTCTATCACTCTTGGTCAGTTAGCAGCAAACCAATCATCAGGATACCATGGTAGTTGGTGTGCTCTGTAATTGGACGGATGACTATGACAGTCATACTTTTAGCTACCCAGTCTCACATTTAGCATATGAAATCATTTGCTGAGGACTCTGTTTTGGGGAACTTTGAACTGATGAGCAGTAATATACTGTAAGACTGTTCTCCAAGAGGTGCCACATACAGATATAGCCTGACGGAGCTTGATGGTTGAGTGGACTCCTGACCTCAATCTAATTTAAATCCTAAACATCGCTCTACTTATACCATGGAACTTACCAATACTATTAGAAGTATTCATTCACTTTTTGAAGTTTGTTTTTGGCCAGTTTTAAAAATGAAGAACTATGTTTGAGGTACTTCTAAAATACACCTGCCAGCCAGCCATTCATAAAAAGAAGTTCTCTTGACTATGGGGTAAGAGTTAAAAACGTTGACAGAGCAGGTTAAAAGTTACTGCTGAAAAGAGCACAGACATACAGGTAGGCCTTTATATTCTGTCCTTCCCTGCGCACTGGTGCAAGACTCATTGCGCGTGCGCTGCCGCGGAGGAGAAGCGCGCCTGTGTCCCGTGCAGCGGCAGCAGCAGCCAGTCACAACAGAACAGAGCGTGGAGAGTGTGTGCTGCCTTTACAGCACAGAGAAACAGCGCGTTTACACCACACGTGTGCTCTGTGTTTATGATATAACACAACTGCGACTTCGTGTTTCTTTACACTTGTTTTCCCTCAAGGGTTCATTTCCTCCACGCTGAACTGCTCTTTGTTGTTACAGAGAAGATAAGGAGTAAAACAAGTCTTCTGAAATGGCTAACGTTAAGTCGCCAACTTGTTGATGGTGTCACTTCATTTTTTATTATTTTTTTTGCTGTCACTCAGGGTAAGTTGTATGTTGTTTTTTTTACAGTTATATTGGCTCCTTTCTCACTAACCTTAAATGAATGCAACATATTTGAACTAAACGAATGACATCTTAATGGGGCATAGCGTGGCCGTGTGCCAGTAGGCTATGTTATCATACCAGCTAAGTTATACATAGCATTTCAGCTCCAGTGATATCTTTGATGTATTCTTGTCACAGCTTTATAGTTCCATTGTAACATCTGAGTCCTTCTTAAAGTAGGCATATTATAGGCTACAGTCAGAACATGGTTGGTACATGAATTGGTATTTAAACAAAACACTAAACGAAATGAACCAGATACACAACTTATGGTATTGAAATAACTAATTGAAACGTCCCACAAACCCATCAAGCCTGGCAAATATCTTTCTGCTATGAATGAGGAAGAGTTGGGTCCTGTGTGCAGTGTTGTTGTCCTGCTTTCATTGTAGTTTGATAAGAGCTTGCCTTGTGTGATAATATAAAATCCTGGCATCCCTTCCCTGTTTCCTCCTAAGTTTTTTTTCTGTTTTTCCCCCTAAATCAAATCCCCCCCCCCAATGATCGTGTTGAAGTTACTGTGCACAAACCAGGTGTGAATATGTGTCACAGCACCTATGAAGTTTATAGCGTGAAGTTTTGCAGAACATCACAATGGAAATAAAGCCAAAGAATTATACTGTTGTGCTGATCGTCTCAAACCACAAAATGAGATACTGTCTGGGAAATTGCCTCTTTCCCCATTTAGGTGGAGCCTACAGTTGACATCACAGATCGAAAATGTAAATTAAAGTCTTGTTTGTAGAAGTTTGTTAATAATAATACTCATCTTTTTATTTTACATTAAATTGGAAGAGAGATCATTAGAGTTAGGAGGAAGAACAGCTGGTGCATGTGATTTTTTCCTGTTCATGGACATCGTTATGAATCTTGCAACCTTGGTAAATGTAATTTCTTTTCAATACAGCATTATTGGAATTTCTTGACAACCAACATAGTGTCCATAGAGCAGCCATCTGTCAATATGTATCAGTCATCTGAGAATACCCAGTACATTGTTTCATGACACTTGGCTCACATTGATGATTGATTAATGCAACAGGAGATTAAGTTTCTACTTTACGGAGAACAAATGGACAGGAAAAAGCACGTCTGCAGATGTCTCGATTTGTTCGACCAGCAAACCTCTAAATATGCAGTTCACGGTCACATAAGATGGATAAAAATAACAAATCCTCATAGCTGAGAAGTTGGAATTGGTCATTTTTCCCCGTTATTGCTTGAAATATTACTTGATTGATAAGTTGTTCATCGTTTAGGTCCATGTGTATTTTAGTTTCCCTTTAGACATTACGTACATCTTCTCTGCTGTAAAAACCTGGCACGCTCGCTGTGGGACTCTGTGGGCATGGTTTCTGTGTTTTTAGTGAAGATTCCTTTCTGCCAGTCAATCGTCAGGCTTATGTGGGTGTTTTGTCTGCCTGACTGGAAGTAAACTCATGTAACACTGGTTTAGAGACACAGAGGGGCGATAGATGGGGAGATAGAGAAACATGGCCAAAGTTGTTCGCGGGACAAAAGTCGCACGATACTATGCCACTGGGTAAATAATTAAAATTAGTGGCTGCCATCCCAAACATGCCAGCCAAATGGCTACTTAAAATTGGTAATTTCATGCGATTGTCCTCAGATAAATGACTTCTCTGGTCTGTGTAGGATTTAGAGGGATCACTCCTAGAATTCATCTGATTTGGTAACCACAGGGACCAGAGCTAATGTTTTAAAGAAAATAACTGTTAAAATGACAATTCCCCAAGATTGTCAGAATTGCACTGGGGAATAGACAGTTCTTTTCTTTTTGTCCTGTCCTTGTATTTACAAAATCTGCTTTTACCAGAGCTTCACTCCCATTCCCTCTGCTCCATAGTGCCATGACAGCAGATACCACAGGGCACAGGCTAACAGCTCCTTACCTCTCTCTTAAGCTTTTGATAAGTGTTTTGTGTGACGAAAGGTGTGTACAAAGCTGTTACAGCAACTTGCAGCTTGTGTTTGCAAACATTAAGACACCCAATTACAATTGCCATTCAAGTGCTTAGACAACCACAAAAGTTGAAAATATTTGTGCGTCCCTAGGATATTCATTACAAGCCCATAGAATTCTAATGATGGAGAGGCGTAAAGGACAGAATACAGAGAAAGAAGAATGGCTGTTGTGTTTGTGCTCATGCTTTCTATGAACAATACAATTTCAGCTCGCTGCTTAAGCTTCTTACCAGTGCTGTTTTTCAGTCCTCTGAGCATCTCTAACTCATTCGGGCAATTCAAATCGGTCTGGTGTTGTGTTCTCTGATGGCAAAAGCTTTGTTGGCGGGATTAAGAGTAGTGAAGTCATCTCTCTATGTAGTTAGTGAGCTACATTCATGAAAAATAGCCACAAAGAATTGCGATAATTCAGATTGATGCAGCTGTATAGGTTGGAACACCCTTGCGACCTATATGGATTTAAGACGCAGGCCATGTAATTGTTATGTTCAGCTGCTGACTGAACGCTGGTAACAGAGGTTGTGGACCCAAACGCAGACACAGAGATGGAACTGGTGAGTAGGTGAGGCTTACAGTTGATATGGTGTGAGCAGCCCAAAACACAACAGGTGAATAATCCAAAAAGTCCAACTGAAAGTAAATCCAAAGTAAATCCACAAAACACAGGACGCACAAGAAACACTGGCATGGAAAACAGTGAACTGGCACAAAGTGAAGGGGCAAACCACTTAAGTACTACAGGAGGGGAGAATGTTAATACACACAGGTGAACCAACTAGACAATCAGAGAAGCCAACACAGGAAGCAAAGAGAGACAGTGACACATGAGGCAGACAAAACTACAAACTAAAACAAGAAGTAAAGCTCACACAGTCTCCCTGTTCAAGTCTATTCTCTTTCGTCCCTCCTTTCTGGTTGGCTTTCTACTGCTAACTGTCTAAAAAAGGCATACAATGTTAGCCTGATAATGATAATGAAAGATTATTCATTCATCCCAGCACTGAGTTCATGTTTGAAGATTTCTATTTGGGAGGCGGGGTTGTTTTTAAGAAGACACTGATGACACTGACACTGAGATGACATTCCTGGTCTTAATTCTGTGTACCAAGCTCTGATTCAGTTGCTTCTCTACCTGGAGGAAACAGCTGACTATTGGCCCCTAAGCCAGACCTGATTGAATTGCTGAAAAAATCTTAGATGTGGATTGCGATTCAGAATACCGTAACAAAATCCCCCTTATAATACTTGAAATCACAGCTCTTAAGTTTGCCTATTTCTTTTTTATTACTAAGTTGACCCTAGAAACACAGCAAGTCCAACTGGGGACGTCGGGTTCGTGGTCGATGTATTAACCCATAAGGTGTTTGAAATTGGCGTATTTCTTATGTTACGCTACCTGCACCTAGCAACCTCCACCACAGCCTCTGCGTCGACTGAAAAGCACTTCAGCAGGACGGATACATTATTACTGAGTGGTTAGGGCAAAACAAAACAAAATGCCCCCACCACCCTAGCCAGAAATCAGCTACCCTGAACAGACAGACTGAATGAATGGAGTGAAACAAAATGACAATTTGGTCTGATGGAACCTTGTGGCGCAGGCGTTTCTGCATTTCCGTTTTAACGCGCGTCTCTTTGTTTTACTTATTTCATCAGAGCTGCATTCACTTCCCCTGTGTGTGGCAACTGCTTGAAGAGAGTCACACAGAGAGCAGAGCTTGAACTGCTGTCTATCAGTCTTTACACGCCTGACCAAATCCTTACTCCAAATCCTTAGAGCAACGCGCATCGACACGTTTTTGTCTACAAGTTAAGGCGTATTGTCACCTGCAGCCTTTTGCCTGATTCATATCACTTTTGAAGGCACTCCCGTCCAGCTGTAGTTTTTGACTAGAACTGGTATTACATTTTGGCTTGGTTCTGCCAGAAGGGGATTATTCCACACTACATTAGCCTACTGCATAGAGCCTTCTGTTTAGTCATGCAATAATGACCATATTTGTACTGGCTTTTGCACTAGGTCTGTGAAAATTAAACAAGTTTTGCAAGGAAGAAAAGGGCGGGAGGTTGGCTCAAAATGTGTGTGCTGCATCTTTGGTATGTGGGAGATGGCCTGTGCCCTCTGGGGAGAGTTTGAAGTTGTTTACTGTATTAGGACTAATTAGAGTTGGGTGTCACGCAAGCAATTGTTTTATTCTCCTTCTGACCAAGCACTGTGCTTGTGCTGAACACCAGCCTTCCTTTATCACCCACATATCTATTTATGGTGCAGCTGATTGGTTTAAAAATGTCTGCTGTGTAATGACCATGGTGCCAGTCCTGAGGACTGATGGACTTGTGTTAACCTGCAAAATATTAGCTAGGGATAATTAGTGAAGTGGGAGGGGTGTTCAAATTAAGACAAAAGAGCTTTGACATCTGCATAAGGCACTTGTGTATGTGTGTTCTAGGCCACTGCAGCTGCATCTGTCCATGTTGGGAAAATTAAATAATATTTGTTGTTTATCTCAGTGAAGTGGATGTTTATGCTTGCGTGCTGACGTGTACAAGTGTGTTTTGTACATGCAAATCCATGTCTCTGTATTTGTCTGTATGGCAAAACGAATGCCTGTCTTTTTTGTTTCCTTCCTGGCCTCTTTGTGTGGCATTTTTCAAATTCACTGCAGGAATAGCACGAGATCGTGTGCACATGCGGTAGCCAGTGTGAATGTGTGTGTGTGCATGTCAGTGAATGAGTGTGGGGTGCAATTTAACAGAAAGTGAGGAGCATGAATCATTGATGAGCGAGGCCAGACGCAGAAGAGATCAGAGATGGGAAAGAAAGAGAGCTGAAGTGTTCCCCGCTGTCTCTCCTCAGCTCAGCATCTCCCTCCCTCATCTCCTGCCCTGTGTTTATTAAAACTACAGCTGCACAGAGTGTCTGTGTGTACAGTGTACAGTACGAGTCTTTA